GATGTAGCTAGTGCAAAAGTCTTCGGTTCAATCCTCAGTACTACAAACAAACAAACATCCTTACTCTTAGGCCGGTGTGGTGGCACAGGCCTGTAATCCCAGCACTCGGGAGGCTGAGGCAGGAGCACTGCTTTAAGTGTGAGGCCAGCCTGTGCTACTAAGTGAGCTCAAAACCAGCCTGAACTGCATATTGAAACCTTGTCTCACAGAGACCAAAAAAAAGCCTTACCTTTTGTCTAAATTACTTTTCTCTTGTTGCTGAGACAAAATACCTGACACCCAAAGTTAAAGCGGGGAAGGTTTATTTAGCTCACAGTGTGTAGAGGTTTCAGTCCATAAATGGCTGGCTCCAAGGCAGGGTGGTACAACAAAGGGACATTGAAGAGGAGAAAGAGTCCATGGCAAGCAGAAGGGAGAGAAGGAAGCAAGACACAAGAAAAACTTCCTGCCCCTTGTATTGTATCCAGGCTAGAAGAACTAGGGTAGTGCCAGACCAATCAGTGGACTGATGTAGTAATCACCCACCCTTAATCCTACGACCTTTAATGCTAACATTGCACCATGAATCAGCCACACACTCTAGATTCAAGGGCCTCTGGAAAAAGCCCCATCTGTGACCGCATGAGGCTTTGGGAGGACCTCTAGACACAAGCCATAACACGTTTTTCTTGGTCTTTTTTGAGACAGGGTCTTGCTATGCAGTTCAGGCTGGCCTTGAGCTCAGTTTGTAGCCCAGGCTGGCCTCAAACTCTCAATGATCCTCCTGCCTCAGCCTCCCGAATGCTGGGATTACAAGCTTTTTTTTTTGTCTTTTATTGGCATGCGCCATCATGCCCGGCTCACACTCTTTTCAAGAGATGAAGACTATTTTACAAAAAGAGAGAGATGGAGACTATTTGTCAGTCAAGAGCATAGGCAAGCTTTAGAATCTTTGGTAGAGTAGGCACATCTCACAGGGTTAGGAAGCACCCAATCGAAACTGATCTTTCCCAACCGAAAATGTATATGAAGGACATAGACAACAGAAGACAAGAATTGCTCATATACTTCACCCCTTCAGTAAATTTTTTTTTTTTTTT